GACTTAACAGTGGGCGGGGCTTATTTAACACTGTCCAGTGTTGAGACAACACTGATGAAATCAACACTGTGAATTAGCACCAACCCTTGAAGTTAGTTTGCTCAGAGAGTGTTAAAATAACACTGGGGGAGTTAAATTGATTCTGAAAAGTTTAACACTGACATTTTAACACTCTGGTTTTAACTGTGTACCTGTTTTGGAGTTGTTGTTTTTTTTTCTGCTACAACACACCTGATTTGAATGATGATGATTGGCAGGCTTCTGCAGAACTTGAAGCAATGTCATCACTGAATCAGGTGAATTGAGCAGGGAGACATGTAAAACCTACAGGATAACGGCTCTCTAGGACCAGGACTGGACACCSCYTAGTTTAGAGGYTGCTCACCCTTTGTGAYTTCAAGTTTTTGATCGTGTMTCTTATACCTCAGTGGTCAATTAAAGAATGTGTTTTCCTCTATATTTTGATATRWTGTTGTGGAGAAACTTTTCCCCATGTAGTGGCTTGGCATGGGAAGTTTGGAGTTTTAGTTGAAATTGTGTGAAGAGTTGATTTAGGGTGGCGCTGTGGCTCTGCTGGCAGAGATGTTGCCTCTCAGCAAAAMGGTTGCCGGATCTAYTTTTCTGGGTAGAGTTTACATGTTCACTCTGTGCACTTGTGAGTTTTCTACRGGYACTCTGACYAAAAACATGAATTGGTAACTCTAAATYGTCCCAAGTGTGAGTGAGAGTGTTTGGCTCTATGTGTCCCTATGATGGACTTGCGATCTGTCCAGGGTGTACCCCACTCCTTGCACAGAGACTGCTGGATATGGGCGCCAGTGACCTCCTGTACCCCTTGAGGATGAAGTGGGTAAAGATAATGGATGGATGGTGTTGCTACAGTAAAAGCAAAAAAAAAAAAAAAAACCTATCCTTAAAGGGTCAACCCCAACCTCGATGGTGTATTTAGTTGTCAATACTACAACTCTCACTCTGCGTTCAGCCCACAGTTAATCACAAAAAAAATTGTCAAAAGAAGCAAATTGTCAGATCTCAAATCAGCGTGAGCCTGAATAAGCTATACATGAATGCTAGAGTTTCTTACAAATAAGGCTTTAACAAAAGGTGCTTCCATTGAACTGTGTCCTGTTTTGTTTTGCTTCAGTTTCTGCTCTGTTTTATGGCTCTGCAGCTTAAGATCTGGGCTCTACTTCTAGCTGCTTTGCCTAAAATAGAGCGTGTAAGCTGCACGGCTGCACAGTGGCACCAAGCACAGCCTGATAAAGGCTGATAGTAGGATCAAACACAGGGATTTTTCTGTGATTGCACTGTTGAATGAGTATTTGCAATGCTGCAATCAACACTCTGTCGTTTGTTTTTATATTATCAAGGCATTAACCTGACATGCTATGTTTAGAACATAACTTACCAGTCAAGTGGATTTCCAACTCTAAAAGCTATATTTGAGCTCAGTAGCATGGCTGKCCCCTCCTTGCGCTCACATTTCCCKTATTTTTTTGTTGGTCTGTGTGRATGTGTTGGTAAAAATATTGTTTTTATCTAATAGTGGAATGTTTATTTTTTGACTATGCCAAGGACTCATAGCAGGGGGCTAAATACACAACACTTTTCTTTTTTAAAATTCATAAACTTCAGTGTTTATTAGAAGAAAGCGGTTGAAGTGGGATAAACAGCATGGCACCATAAGTCTATTTTGAGCTAACTGTTAACTTTTCCCTCTTTCATTATTGTTATCAGCAACGGCCAGATTTAAAAGAAGCACGCTGCATTTGCAGCAATTTGTTTCAACACAGTCCTGCAGGACGGACAGCCCCACTGGCTTAACTGTWCTCACCATATTGAGCATAGATTTACAAATGTGCTTTTATAGGCACATGTGGCATGCCTTAAACTGTATATTCTTACAAGAGAATGTTCTTGTTGCTATTTCAAGTTAAATTACTTTGTGTTTTTATTGGTTCTGGAGTTCAGTGTGGGACTTCTCTTAGACTTCTTTAATTCTGTTTTRGTCATAAATTTCACGGCTTGCAAGATCTTAGTGGATAAACTCATTTACAAGGTTTAACCAAAATGTTTATATGTTTCTTATTAGAAAAAAAAATACATTTTAATTTCAAATGCTGACATAAAAGAGAGTAGGTGATATGCATTCATTCAAAGAACACTTTGAAACATATTTCATTTGAATAACGCAATTTATAGCCTGGCCCTTGCCTTCCTACGCTGCTCCGCTCAATTCTAGTTTCCCTTCACTGCTCCGTCTTCTCCTATTGAGATGGATTTTGCTGGCAGATTTTTAGCCGGGCCAATCAGAGAACAGAACGTCAATTTTCTGCGCAGTGTCTGCTTGTAGTTTATTT